AGTCTTGTAAATTATTTAGTATGTTTTTTGATAATAAATTTTAATCCACAAATCAAGGGGTACATCGAGGGATTTTTGCCTAAATTTAGTTTAGAATTTATTTTTATTTTTATTTTTTTTAAAGCTTTGAAGTGCTAACAAACAATTATCTGAGGAAGATAAAAAAAAAAGTAAAAAAAAAAAAAAAAAAAAAAAGGACAGAAGAGAATCTCTCCATGTTACAGGGTGATTAGAAGGAGCAAGGATCCTCCCCTTCATCTCTCTCATTCATTCCTTCCTTGCAGGGGTCTTCGGGTCCACTTTGAGGTCTAATTTTGATAATCTGAATCGTTCATATTTTAATATTTATTCAGTATATTATACCTGTAAAAAATTAAGTTGATCGGATATCAGAAAGTATCCGTTTAGCAAATTGGGACTACAAACTATTTTTTAATAAGCAGTTTTCCGAACACATACGTTCTGATATCCGATCAACTTGATTTTTTACAGGTATGATATACTGAATAAATCTTAAAATATGAACGGTTCGGATTATCAAAATTGGGCCTCAAAGTGGGCCCGAAGGCCCTGCAAGGAAGAAATGAAGGAGAGAGATGAAGGGAAGGATCCCAATTCGATTAGAAGAAACAACAGACAAGTACAAGCTTTCTTTGCTTCTACATGTGAGAGAGAGACAGAGAGAGAGAGAGCTATATGGGGATGAAAAGGGAAATGCATCAATCATTTGGTCCGTTTGGTAGAACTGTGAGAAAGTGATTATAACTTATAGTTTAACAGCTTATAATTTATAACTATGAACATAAACTGATTTTTGACTTATAAATTAAGTTTCTTCTCCCCCACTTAAAGAATAAGTTGATTTTTGACTTACAAAAAGTTATAAGCTGCATTGTTAAGCTGAACCAAATATATTAAAATAATTTAAATTAAGGTAAAAATTGAAATAAGTTGAAAATAAGCTCTACCAAATAGGGTCATTGTAAAGTGTGTAGCAACCGAACACCACCATTTGTAAAACAATAGCAAACAGTGCCTGCCCACATGCACTCATATGGCACAAGTGGATTTTTCAGGATTTAAAAACTCTCAACGGTGCAAATTAATTTTTTTATTTTTATTTTTTAAAAAAGAAGAAGATTGATATGTATTTATGTATGGATATGTGCTTTTAGAGAGAGAGAGAGAGAGAGAGAGGGTAATAATAATTCATCCTCATAATAATAAAGGAGGTGGAAGAGGCTGGAGGCCATGTGAAGCTATGCTGCAGCTTCCTTGAGATAGGACTATTATGTATTATCCCATTATTGGAAGGGACACCCCTCTACACTTTCCCACCAAAAACAATAATACAAATAATAAATTAAAATAATAAGAAAAAGCCTCCAAATATATGGTAGGATAGCGTGAATATAATTATAGGAAATTAATTATTTAAATGTTAATCATTAAATTTGAAGTATAACTCTAACAATATAAAATTAAAACACAAAATGAGTCACGGAAAATGTAATAATAGATTTAGAATTATTATGAATGTGAACTCCTAAACTCTTTTCCTTAATTTAGACGACTATATTTACATCTCTTATATATTCTTTCTTATCATATTAAAATCATAACAACTGCAGACATAATCATAATTGTAGAATGAATCATTTAAGAATAATGTTTGGGAGCTCTAATTTGAAAGTTCTATTACAGTTCTAATGATGTAAAGAATGCCCATGTGAAGAGGGAGCCACCCTTCTCTCTCTATCTCTCTCTATTCTCTCTCTCTTCTACCTCATTAGAGTTACTATTTTAGAATTATATATCATTGTTGATTATTTAGATCTTTTATTTTTTATGTCTGTATTTTATTTATAATTTTTGTATTTATATGTCACAATAATCCTAATTAGTTGTAACATATACCTAACAATATCTTGTGCAAATATGAACTCATTTTGAGAGAATGAATCGAATCGAGCATTAGGTGCACCACATGGCTAGCCACCATCAACATTTCATCATTGAAAGAAGTATGGGACTCCAATTTTATTATTTTTTTCCTTTTCTTATGATTATTTTTATTATTATTCTTTTGGTCTTGAATTATTGTTATTATTGAAAAATTGGTTTGTCTTGCTCTGTCTTTAAACCCTTCCCCTAGGATCAACTAAGGATTACTGTTAATTTTAATTGAGTTTATAAATGCAATCTGTTTATAAATTTGAACAAATTTAAACAGATTTTAAATTAATGCAATTGAATATATTCATGGTTTTCGATTAATTTGTCACCTCTAAACAAAACCATGGAATACGCACACAAAAAAATTAAAATTAAATATTTGTTTAAAAAATAAAAATTTTCAATTCAGTATAAGTTGACAAAAATAATTACAAATAGGCAATAAATTTTATTAATATTAATAATTATAATTATAATTTTTTTTTATAAATTTGTAATAGTTTTCCGAAGTTAACACTAATAGTTAATTTTCTCCAAAAAAATATCCAAGCAATATTCAATCAAATGAGTTGAATAAATTCAAAATTCATATATTTTCCGATTCTAATAAGAATCAACCCTCAAGTTTGCTTGAAAATAATAATAAGAATAATAATAATAATAATAATAACTGCTCAAAAATAAAATAAAAAGAAGAAGTCATGTGGGTACAGTTAGGATGGGCTGTTTTCTTAAGCTTGTACTTTTTGGGCTGAGCTGTTTGCTAGTGGCCCAATCCAATTGAAAGATTTTCTTTCTGACACAGGCTTTGAACCATGTTGGGCTTGGACACAACACAATTGAGAAAATGTAGGAAGAGCAGCATATATGATATATGTATCGCAACAAGAGACCTGCGATGTTAGTTAAAAAAAGTTTAAAAATAGGGTAAATTATAAATATATTTTTTAAGATTTGTTTAAAGTATAAATTATTTTTTGTAGTTTGAAAAATTATAAATATCTTATTGTTAAAATTTTTTATTTAATAGAATTAACTAAAAAAATAAAATTTATAATTATTCTCCTAGACAATAATAAAATTATCTAAATTATTAATTAAAATATATTTCTAACATCATTAAAAATTGTTAATTGACTTGATAATTTATTAATAAAATGAACGATTTGTTATGAAATTAGAAATATTAAAAATGAAATGTAATTTTCAAAATCATAAAAAATAATTTATATCTTAATCAAATGTGAGGAGTAAAAATAAAATATAATGTAATTTAAAAATGTTAAAAAAATTGCCAAACGGCGAAAGTGTAACATAATGGGATATTTAGGCCTCGTTCAAAATTGGATATTTAGGCCTCGTTTGACAAATGACTTTTTTAGTTAAAAAATTAAAAAGTTATTAAAAAAATCAAAAAGTCAATAACTCATATCAAAAAGTCAAATATTCTATTTTCTCTTTATTTTTTGCACATCTTTTCGTAAAAAGCTAAAAAATCATTCCAAACATACTGATTTTTTTTACATCACATTTTAACCAAAAAACCAAAAAATTACTAAAAAAATCTGTTTCCAAATGAGGCTTTAGGGGGAATATAAAACGAGCAGTATATGTATCGCAGCAACAAGCGACGTGCAATGCAATGCGTAATTTGAAGAAAATCGATAGAAAGAAAGAATATCTTCGATTCAACCCTCCGCTCCTCATGTACATCACTTCTTCTTCTTCTTCACGTCGCTGGCTTTTTTTTTTTTAATTATTATTTTCGTGGTCTTATTTTTCTTGTTAATGATTACTTTTGGCCCTCTTGTGAATGACCATGAATTGTACCCCCACCCACCAACCCACATCTATGCTGGCTGCATTGAGTGATTATGGTTGTGAATTACAGTGCTAACGAATTTCTTTGCTTATTATGAATTAGGTTGCCTATTTATCTGAGAGTTACTATGGAATTAGCATTTTAAATCAATTCTATCAACTGAATAAATGTGCTTTCGTAGTAGTTTGGGTGCTCCTTGCATTGGTGAATCCCACTCCATGCCAATAAGGGGACACCACATATTGATATAAACTTCAAAATTGAGTATTTTTTCATGGGCAAATTACACTAATAGTCCCTACATTCATTTCGGTCCCACCGCTTTTAATTGACTCAATTTTGACCATTCATTTTAAATTTTGTGTCATTTTGATCCAATTGATACTGCTGGTAATATTTTTGACAGAAAATAATCACTGAATTGGTTGAGGTAACTCATTAAGTTTAGTAAATTTATAATTTTACTTTAAAAAATATTACATATGCCACTTGTATGCATATTTTCTATAAAAAAAATTTAAAATACTCAGAGTTGTATTCAATTGAATTAAATTGAAACAAAATCATAAATTCAAGATTAAAATCGAGTCAATTGAAATCACGGGCACTAAAATGACCCAAAAACTGAAGTACGGGACTACTGTCCCAATTTATCCTTTTTTTATAATCCAAAATTTACTATCAAATTGAAACCATCACTTGCAAATTTTAAAAAGCTTATTTGGGGTCAAACTAAAAATATATGGAAACAAAGAGTGGGAAAAGTGAAAGAAATTAAAAATACACTCACATATCTTTGTTACGAGAGATGTGAATGTTAACGTGAATTTCTCTCTTCCTCTATTTTATTTTCTTTGTTAAGAAAGTATTTGAATATTAAGTTGAATTGCTTAATGTTAGTGTTAGTGAGCATGGCAAACAAATGAGACTGCGAGCATTGAACCTCGATCTCCCCATACCAAAATTTATAATTCACAAATTACAAATTTTGTACGAGAGCTTTGCCACTTGAGCTACATCCTCAAGTTTGTTTGGGTGAATTTGTGAACGTTTATCTGATTAATTTTGTTTTTTTTTTCTTAAGATAGTTTTAATTTATTTATTTTTATTATTCAAGTGCATTCTCTTTGAATTTCGATAGTATTCATTAATCATATAAAATTTTTTATACATATTTTGTTTCTTATTATAGGATCTTACGATTGTTGATTTGATCATATCTAGGCCGGTAGAATCCCAAAACAATCCTGTGTAATCCCCAATTTTTTACAACCTTGCTTCCTGTTGATAAGGAGTTATGGCTCATTTTTTTCGTGGTGGAGGTCAGTATTTGTTTCCTTTTGCCATCTCTCTCTTTCCTTCTGTCTCGTTTTGAACATAATTTAATTATATTTTTTTGCCTATTTCAATTTGTTTGTGTTTTTTGTTATTTGAAACCATTTGCTCAAAATGGTAGAGGTTTTTTTTAAAATTTCGATGTCTTTTGATCTACTCGCAAAAGGTACATGGCATCTATGTACAACTTGCAACATATTGGAGACCAAAATTAAAAACAAATATTGTTAGTTACTTTTCATGCTTGATTTATCACTAGTTTACTTTTATCATTGACATTTCTCTCTCAGTTTGGGTTTGTGGATATATTCTAATAAAGGTTCTTTCTTGAACTTGTAAGTTTTTAACAATCTCAACTTGTGTTGCAAATTGATGTTTTTATGCTTTAGTTGAATTGAACTAATATATGTTATGGTTAATTGTTTTTGATATTGTCTTTCTGTGTTTTTCTTCTCAAATTTGTTGCTCTCGTCTTTTGCAGGAAAATCTTCTTCAGCTTCTTCTGGTTCAAACAGTTTAGTGTGAAGCATTTTTCTCTTGCTTTCTTCCTTTTTACTTTGTGTTTATGATATCTTGTTTTTGTGTTTACATTTGCCCTTGTGTTCTCTATCTTCATAGTTACAAAAATTGCAGCAACTTTATTGGGTTTCTCTGCTCTAAGCAAGAACTTGGAAAATCTTCATGTAGAGCCATATTCATGTGAAATCTTAGTCAAAGATTATGAAGAGGTACACATTTTCATAGTTCAGAGTCATTAGGAATGGTTATTGGTGATTTAGTAGTTGTTGCTTCTTTTCTTAGTTGAGATGTGATGGTGCAGCCCTTGATTGGTTGGATTCCAATTATCAGATTTGGAAGCCAATGTTGAAGTCCATGGGTCCAAAGTCTTTTTGGTCCCACAATTGTAATTTGTAGTTTATTATTATTGTTTAATTAGATTTAATTAAATAAAGTTAGCCAGGAATATTAGGCGGTTAGGTTTTCTAATTACAATGTAGGACTTTGGTTATATAAATATTAGGATTTTAAGTTTTGGCATTGTAATATTCAGTTTTGAGAATAATATTTGAGAGTAAAAGACTGTGGCCAACTTTGAGTTCTTCTCCCTCTCTCTACCCTGTCCTGCATCTGGATCAGTCATAGGTTGATGGCTTAAATCCAAAGATTTAATTTCCTAATGCAAATATTTTTAGTTTTATCTCAAAGAGTGTTTGGAGAGATTTTATGTTTCACTCTTCAATTTTCTTTTTAAGTACAGTGTTTGTACATATTTTGTCCTTTCTCTATTATGCAGTGCATGAGCAGAACTCCCACCAGTTGCGATGCCCAACATTGTGAAAAAATTCGCAAAAGGATGGCATCTTGCCTTGAAAGTAAGTTGGGTTTGTATGCATATCTAGAAACTTTGTTGTTTTCTTTGAGGTGCCACTTTTGCCATTATTAAATATAAAAGAATAAAATGATGATTCCTTGGTGCTTTTAAGATGGTTCTGCATTTTAATTATGCAAGAAACTCTATACCGTATCTCATACGAACCAAGAGTTCCATCCCAATTCTAAAAGGAAAACTAAGAAGGTTCAATCATCGTATAGGATTGTATTTTAAGGTGTCTTTATCCATTTTAATATGACTTTTGATCCATTGAAATGCAAAATCCCATGTTCTAAGGTTTTGTTTTTTTGGGGGGTTGTTCATGGGAGTAACACATGTGTGACAGAATCAAGTCTGTATTCGCCTTGACGTGGATAGGCCCATAAAGGCCATAACCCACTATGAACAACCCAAGCCCACCACTTAGGGCCCAACACATAACCCAACTGATAAGGCTCAGCACAGCTGGAAGTCAACATGACTTGAAGGACCAATGATATTCAAACACGTGGCAGGTAAAGGGCAAGCCACATCAGTAGACAAAGATCTGTAAAGTTATTGTCACTGCACATCGCCATTAATGCAGCCCCTCACAGCATTTATTACGACAACACCTCTCCGTCGGGAGAGCACGCCCTCACCCTGAACAAGGTAAGCTACAGCATAGACTTTTGGCCAAGGTGACAGGTCGGAAGGGACAACGAAATGATTATCAAAGGATATAAGCAGACGTTGAAGACAAGAAGAAGGTTAAGCTTTTCTATCATTACTCCATCTCTGTATTCCACTTCTCTCTCTAACTTGCTCATTGGAGGGTTCGCTGGGGGACTCCCCGTTCCCTGTTGAACTTTTGTACAGGTCTTCAGGTAGGCTTGGTCATTCGGACATAGGCTTGAGGAGCGTGGATCAGTCCGACCCGTTCCACCATCATTAACTACATCATCAGTTGGCGCCGTCTATGGGAACGCTTTGCTCCGCGCGCCAGTTGTGCTCATTGTCGACGGAGATCCTATTCCAATAACCCTTTCCTGCTACCCATCAAAGTGTATGGTCACGACTAGATCCATTACTTCTCACCAAAATGCTGCCAACCACCAAACCGACCCCCCTAATCCAAACAACCTACCACAATATTTCATCGAGCTTACCAACAGCATTAACCGTATGGCGAGCAAAACCAAGCCCTGATAAATGCTCTACTCCAAAGAAACCTCCCTATGTCTCCTCCACCACCTCTCGATATTGTGCCCAACCAAGAACGAGCCCCGAGCCATGCCATCCGCAGCCCTATCCGCCCAACTTGGAAGACTTGCAACCTCCTCCTCCTAATATAAATCCACCACCCCGACCCCCGCATCCGTCGGTCCTGGCACCAACCCCTGAAGGGGAAGCCAGTAGCGTCCAACCCCCGCTGCCTTTCAGTGGTGATAACATTCCTCTCTAGGATGCAGAACTCCGAGCCATGAAGCTCCAACTCCAAGGGGTCATGCAGAACATCCAGCATAAACCTTCTACCACAGCAAACTCACCATTTGTTGCCTCCATCCGGGACAAACTTCTACCCCCCAAGTTCAAAATGCCCTCATCGACTCTTTTGACGGTACGACGAACCCAGTCGACCATCTGGAGACCTACAGAACCCTCATGATCCTCCATGCATTCCTTGACGAGATCATGTGTCATGCATTCCCTGACGAGATCATGTGTCGAGCTTTCCCCGTGACACTGAAGGGGTCAGCTCGGCTGTGGTTTAGCCAGTTACCAGCAGACTCCGTCTCCAATTTCCAGCATCTCAGTGACTCATTCCTTAGCCATTTTATTGGAGCCCAGCGCCAACGCCGTCAGGCAACCCAACTGCTCAACATCCGCCAGACCGAGAGGGAGTCCCTCCGCAGTTTCGTTACCCGCTTCAACACCGAAGCCTTACAGGTGGCGAAAAACGATGATAAGGTCATCCTTACGGCTTTCATGGCCGGACTACGGTCATCTGATTTCCTTTTCTCCCTCTCTAAAAAACCCCCCACCTCCATGGCAACCCTACTCTCCAAAGCCCAAAAATACATGAACGCAGAAAATTCCCTAGCCGCTCGCCAAGACCCCACAGCAAAAAACCCAACCCCCCGAGAAAAGCGAAAAGACTCAGAAATTAGAAACACCCTGTACAATAACCAAACACCCCACTATACCGACCGACCCCTCAGAGCTGACCGGACGGCACCAGTCTGACCGCCCGGTCGGTTCGAACGGTACACACCCCTCAATTCTCCCATGGAACAAGTCCTTAATCAGATCCAACGGGACTACCCCCTCAAATGGCCCCAACCATCACGAACCCCTTCCAATCGGAAAGACCAGTCCAAATATTGCCGCTTCCACCAGGACCACGACCATAATACCGACGAGTGCGTCAACCTCAAAGACTAGGTCGAGACCTTAATACGTCAGGGACGTCTTAGCCGATTCACGGACACCCGTCCTCAGCAGAGGCAAAGGATGGAGCCCCCCAGAAATAACCACCGGCGCACCCCTCCCCAGCAGCCAGCCCAACCTAACCAAGGCCATGATCGCCCTCCACCGCAGCCTCGACCGCAAGGTAATCCCCCTTCCACCTGTTGGAGAAATCAGAGTTATTTCAGGTGGCCTTGCTTGTGGGGGACCATCCCGCTCGGCTCAGAAAGCATAACTCAGAAAGATAAGGCAGGGCTCAGACAAAGGAGTTGCCACGGTGGACCGACCCTCCAAACAGCCCAAGCAGTGGACCGAGCCTATCACCTTCACGGACGCCGACTGCATAGGCATCCGTTACCCTCATGATGACCCTCTCATCATTTTAGCCCTCCTCTCCAATAACAAGGTCAGACGAGTTCTCATTGACAACGGCAGTTCTTCAGACATCATCTTCCTCAGCTGCTTTCGCCAGCTCAAGATTGGGGAGGAAAGTCTGTTTCTCCTCCAAACCCCTTTGGTCGGTTTCACTGGTGACCGGGTGACTTCCATCGGCTCCATCGATCTTCCTATCACAATCGGAGAGTACCCGCGGCAAACCACAAAGTTGCTCACCTTCCTTGTTGTCGACTGCCCCTCCGCCTACAACATCATCCTTGGCCGCACCGCCCTCAATGCTTTTCAAGCCACCACATTAACTTACCACCTTGCCATTAAGTTCCCCACCGATCTGGGGGTCAGGACAGTGAGAGGAGAGCAGACAGTTGCCAGGGAGTGTTATGTCGCCTCATTCAAAGAAGTCAAGCTGAAGAAGGTTGTGGACGCGCCCCGCGTGAGGGTCTCACCCCACAGTTCGGACTCAATTTGTCACGGTTCTAAATCTGAACCAAAGAGTCCAAATCTGGCAAATCATTTTGAAAAACAGATTTTTGTAAAGAAGTGCCAAACATGGACTGTTTTGCCAGATACAGAGTCGCCACCTAAATATTTTTTATAGGGGAATTTAGGAAACCTTGACTCGTTTGCCTAAGGCCACATGTCCGTCATCACCAAAGTTGCCTCGGCTCGGGAACTTGGGTACGATTGGGGAAGGTTAGCTATGAGCACCCCCTCTCGCCCTATCCGAAGATCGGTCTCTACTAACCATGATATCTCGTTTTTGAAAACACATGCGTTCTTATTCCGGTTATTAGCCTAGAAGTACTATGTGATGCGCACAGCAAAACAAGTATAGACTAGATCGCCTAATTTTGGAACAAAGCATTGCATATCCGTTTGTTTGGAAAATGATTTGAGATTTGCTACTCGCAAGTAGGCTAAAAACACGAATTTCAATGAGTTGTCCCAACTCAAACAATCCAACCTTCACCCACAGGCATTCAAGCAGTTTATATCACATAAGCATCTAGCCACATGGTAAGCATGCTGTCATGTTAACATTCACACTCATGTGAGATACTACAACATAAAACACTTACAGTGTACTCCAAGCCAAAACAATAAACATGTTAGTAATCATGCATGATCCAAGTCCATGTCAAGTGGCTAATGCAACGCATACGGAGTGTCACTAGAATAGGCTCGGCTAATCCTAGGATGACATATGGGATGCAACAAGTAGCACGTATTCAAGTCAGATTTGGAATACTATGCTATTAGTATGATGCGTCGAGCCTGGTGCATGCAATACTGATGAATGATGCACGCATGCATAGCATAAGGATG